TATAGTTATATATAGTAGTAGTAGTAATTTAATAACGTTATTTGTATGCGTTACTCGCCCGATATTAATAACATTAATAAAGTTAGCGGCAAATGGAATCAGTATAGGATTCGACATTTCCCTATGTAAGTATCTACTCAGCTATGGGTCGGAATATAATGAAATACTAAGCATAGTTAAGTACTTGTAACGCTCCGTGACCATTAACGACAGTAAATTCAATGCCGTCACATGTTTCTCCGAGAAGATAGGGCCCGGTTGGTCCCAGACGTACTCAATTCGCCGCTAACGTTCCAGCTGTCTCGAGTGCTCTTTCACCATCTCATGGCATTATGAGTTTGACTGCGATGGGTTTTCCCCTACACACGCTATAGTTGCTAACCGCGATGTATGTTATAAGATGCTTGGACGTCGTCTAATTAAGAGTTTTATAAGAAGGTAGTGTATTATGTATAAAATCGCATAGCATGTGGATTTTGTCGGTTTCATCCGTTACAATTGAGAACCCTAGTTCGTTGACAGGGATTTCGACCGTACAATAAAAAAGAACAGGTAACTAAAAATAAAACATTTACCTACTGCTACCGATTAATACGATATGTTGACATTCTTCACTGTAAGGATCATTAAATACAATGTTTATCACAATTTTACGCCTGAAATTTCAGCATCGCAATATCAGCGGTGATACGTTCATAAATTCAGTGAAATTACCCATATTTCTACGCTTCAAAGAGGTCATATATTTTCGGGTGAAGACAGCGCCTTCCTATGTCGACCATCACGCGAAAGATAAGTATGCTAGAAAATAGCCAAAAATTCGTAAATGGGAATTTCTAAACTGAAATTATCCAAGCAAACGATGTGTAAGAATAATCATGAATATGTGAATAATATTTGTAATCAACACAGATTGCAATTGTAGATGCTTCAGTTTAACGTGTAAATATACTTTAATAGGTACTACCAAACGAGCGATTTTTGACTGTAATACGTAATAAAACAAACAGGTGCAATTATTGTGGTTTACGTTCACGTATAAAAAATATTAGTTTGTGCTCTATTTATCAACTCAGACAGCGCATTATCAACACGACTAACTGTGATTAAGCTTAGAGTACTTTACTGTAACATATTAATAAGACAAATCGCACGGACAAGTCACGAAGAAAACTAGACACTAAGCTGAACTGCAAGTTACAAGTAAAATTTCTCAATATTATGACTTTTATCATGATTAATATACACTTTTGTGATTTCCTTCCTCACTTTACTTTTATATTATACGAAAAAATCTCTTATATTAAAAGAGGTTAAAGAAATTATAATAAGCTGGAGTAAAAATATTGCCCGACAAGAGAATCGGTGAAGATCCAACTTCATCAACTCCTCCTTCTATGTCCAGTCAGTTCTTTTTTGAAATGCACTTCCTGCCGAAGTCAGGATGTCAACAAACTGCCTTTCATTCAAGACAAAAGTGCGCAATCTTTTTCGGAGTGAATTGACAGAACAGTCACAACGCTAGTACCCGACTGAGTATTTTTATATTATATTTATGTATGTTTATGCATTTTTGTGTGTTTATATATTGTGTATACTTCTGGAATTATATTATGTCAAATTTAATATTTTATTTTGCACCTACCGAATCATATTTCTATGTCACACGTAACATGTGCATTAAATTTTAAATAAATAAATAAAATCATTTATGTATGTAATCACTTATCCAAAACAACGTTAGTAAAAGTATTACCTTTTTAGGAACTCGTTTCCAATTTTACATTTAAATATATTATAGGAATATACAAAAGTAACAGAACGGAGGTTAACGTAAATCATGAATAATTTTTTTATCTACTAGACTGTTATACATCCAAGTGCTCCCGAAAATAGAGCGATTACCACAGCTGCAGGAAAATGGCCGACTGAGTTTACGCTAAAACGGTAATACAAAAGCAATATCCAACACTTCTAGTGGCACCCACAACAAAAGCAGGATATTTTGTAAACATTTTACTGCGTCCCAGTCTGTGACGATATTGTGGAGGCTGTCGTTGCAAAATGGCAGTTTTTACTACCTTCCGCAAGACCGTTCGGTAACGTTACATCTCTATACTTATCGTTATACAGTGAAACATTTATTTTTAATCTTGTAATTTTATCTATACACATTTATTTTGACCTTTAAGATTTTTTATATTTCATTAGTAATTGAAAGAGTCAAAGAAAAGTGAAGCCACTGATATAAATCTACTCATTATTAAAGGGAAAATTTATTTCAAGCCAAAGGGAATGGTTTCTTATTACTAAAATTTGGTTTGCGATAGCGTACAGTAAGTAAGCTTTTATATGTATAAGGAATGGAAAAAGCAAAATGATGTTTTGAATGTTGCCGGGCGAGCTTTCACATTTGGCTGCCTCTCGTTGCTCGTTAAGGTGACAAAACATCGTTTTTAGTTTCCTCTTACGCATAGTATTTCTACTCCAGCTGCAATTTTCTCACCCAGGTACTGTGGCTATTTGCAAAACGTGTGAAACTTGGGCACTAAAGTTGCGCCATTTTCGTACCTCTTCCCTTATATTTATAGTGTATGTAAATGAGCTATGAGTACAGTAGTTTTGAAAGTTAAATACTGTTGTAATTTATATTAATATAATAAGTATAACAAAATGCATTTGACGGAAACCAAAAAAATATGATTTAGCTTAAATAGGTGTAGTACCAAGTAAGTTTTGCATTTCGTGCAGCTATAACTCAAATTTCGCCAATTAAAAATATAAATAGTCTTTAGTAATCTAATGAAAAAGAAATTTCAGATTAAATTCCATTTTTGTTTTTGTAAGATAAAGAATATGAAGAAGAAGAATACGTCAGGTTAAACTGAAATTTAAAAGAAATCCCTTTCAATAGGCGGTTTATTTTTCTATAAGGGTTTCAGAGTCATGGCCTCATATGGAGATGGGACCATTCGACCGTGACAAAATCGGTTATGATGATCGGATGTTACCCGATTTCATTTCATGAAATTTTCCTTGCCTTTGTAACATTACTAATATATAAGTTAAGACAATTTACTTACAAACCCACATCAAATATTACTTTAATAATGTAGAGTTAATATAGAGTAAAGAGTTAATATAGGTTAAGTTAACTATTCGTTTCTAAATATACTAAAAAACACTACGAAATAATATAAAGTCATCGAGAAAAATATTCAAGGGACCTTTCCTACTTTATTCACTATATACTATATTTAGTACGATTATGCCCCCGTAATAATAGTAATAATCTTCTATTTACAAGAACGGTTTGATATAGATAGGTAGGTACAACATCTTTTTAAATTGTTTATGCACAAGTATGAGTTGGACAATGGCGGACTTAATGCCACTGGCATTTTCTCACAGTCTACCTTAGGGTGGTGCTGAAATGTGTGACTAGGTGCACTAGACAATGGAATGTAAAAGAAAATTATTGAAAAGTTAGACAGAAACAATGCGATAAATGTGCATACATACATACGTACCAAATACATACACACACGGACACAAACGGAAGTATGGACTGAGGATTCTATCGTGGTTGGAACATAGAAATTGGAATGGAGATGTGAGGTAGGAGTGGAAAATGGGTAAGTTGAGAATGGAATAGAGAGTGGTAAAGGCGCGTAGCTAACGGCGCTGACGATTAGTAACCAAGTTCAATTCACGACGAAAGGAGGAGACATGGTCGTCTTTGTGAAGGTTGAAGAGGAATCAAATTCAGTTATACAGAAAGCGGTCGTATTTATTAAGAAGATCTGCATTCAGGTCATAATAGCATACATCACCATAATCCAAGATGGGGACAATAAGGGTCTGTACAAGCATCGCTTTCGTCTCGGAGGAGAGGAAATTCTTAAGCCGATAAAGGACCCTTAGCGTACCTGTGACTCTCTGGCTGACGTTCGTAACCATTGTTTGCCAGCTGAGCTTGGAGTCGACACACGGTGTGCCACTCTGCGCCTGTAATAGGAGGGATCCGGGAACTGCTGTTATTAAGACATCCGGACCCCTCCTAGCGTCTGCCCGCCAATGTGCGGGCACCACCTTCGGGTACATTCTCTATTTAGGTGACGTCCGGCACACGCGGACGTCACCTCCTCGCGGCTGGCCATTATAGCGGGTGAAGGGGAAAACCCGTCCCGTCCACACGCAGCCACACTCAGGGCGGCATGAGGCGCTGGTAAGCGCATCTCCGCCGCCCGGTTCGCCGTCGGCGAATTGGGTCTGAGTGGAGGTCATCCTCCCGGGCCCTCTCCGCCACCTCCTTTTGCGAGATGACGACTTCACAGAAGGATGCGACCGTGGTAAAACATCTGTCACTACCGGCCATGGAGCTTATGACGGCCGGTAGCGAGATGGCAGTTTACGTTGGCCTAACCTTCCAATCAGACGTTGACTGCCAATGACGATGGCTTGGCTCTTCACTGAGTTCACAGTCAAACCAAACCTAATAGCCCAATCATTAAGTGCTCTGAAGTCATGGTTTACCCTCAGGATGGCCTCGTCTATGTTGTCTATCGATGCTTGATAATAGAGCTACAAATCATCGGCGTAAAGATGGCACGCACATTGGTGATTTGGAGTGATGAGATTAGTAAAGGGCTTAGTAGGTTGTTTCGATATTATTATTTGTATGTATCTAGGTGTAACTTATCATTTAACATACATTTAAATATAATGTGTAAAATGTAATGTTATACCAAAAATCCGCTTCAAGTTAAATAAAAACTGTTGCCATTTTTCCTAACAAAAGGCGCGGGCGCACTATCAGCGTATCAGCTACTATCTCTTGGAAAAGCTATTCGTGTCACTTCACATTTCTAAAGTTAGAACCACGAATAACAGAACAAGTTGAAGTGGTTAGTTGACACTTTGTTGCAAGGTCTGGCTAGGTGCAACTGTCGACAACAGTAACGCCAACTTCGTGGAAACATTTGTGATAAGCTACCAACATGCCAGCGCTAAATAGAATAAGTTGCATGCTTGCCAGTTAAGATGGCTTTTGCATGGTACGAAATGTACCTATAAGATAAGTCAAGATGCACAATATTACCATAAATTTTCCACTTATTTTTAAATGCAAAGAAGAGTGAAGACAATTCTTTGAACACATTTTTAGGAAAATTACGCGAAAGGGATAGCTTGGATTGAAATAAAATTATGGAATACTTAAAGTTTATAAATAAGTGTATTAAAAAACTAAAGACCCCAAGCCAGCCAGTTACAAATTAAAAAAAGGCAATAGGCTTGTGTCCACTAACAACAAATTGCTTGGTTTATAGTTTCAAATTATAAATGACATAGATAAGAATAAACCAGTCTATTTCTTATAAAGTGAAAGACTTTTTTTTTTTTTAAATAAATTCGAACAAAGTAGACATTAAGTCACGTGACAGCGAACACCAATCAGAAAGTGTTACGTCACGCCACGCAAAACATCATTGTTGTTGTTGACGTATTCATACAACTGAGCAGGTTACTCCTTATTATATTATATTTTTAGTCTTTAGCATATTTTCTCACCTTAATATAGTTTCAGTTGACACTGGACACAGATGTAAACAGTTTTGTTTCGCAGACTGTGACGTCATTTAAGACGCCATGACACTATTGAGCGTTTTCAAGGGAAATTTAAATTGTTTTTTTTTTAACAAAATACGTGATGTAAATATTGCTGTTTCTTTAAAATATAGGTTCTTTGAAATAAAATAGATATTAAAGTATATAATTAACCGAGTTTTCAAATAGAGTCAACTAGCATATTGACTATATCCACCTATACGCGTTCGGTACATATGAATTGACGGCTTAGTGATAGCACAAATTTGTTCGCACACTTTATGTAAATGACCCTTTTTGAAATCTATTTTTTTTGTGGTCGATTCTTCGCACTAACTGAATTTATTAGTGTGAATCACCACGACATTTTTCTAAAGGCGTAAACACTAATAAATATAGTTAGTGCGAATCAACCACTAAAAAAATATTATTTATAAACCGCCGAATTGACATGTCATGGTACGGAAAGTAATAATAATGACAGCTCAATTTTGATCTGTAGAATAAGATTCCAAAACCAACGTTGAAGAGCACTTTTGAAAAACATGGTCCGGACAGTTCCAGTCCACATCAATACGAATAGGAAGTACATGAGCAGGCAGAAGCCCATGAAAAGCCATTGCATTCCGATAGTCCTCTGAGTTTCTGTCATTATTACCGGGTCGAATATTTATGTTCAAGTCTTCAATTACGAGTACTATTATGGTTAGTATTGACGACAGAGATTGCAATAATAATAAGAATAATATCACTTTGTACAATTATAGTGCTCTTCTGGCATAAGATTAGATAGATTACTTCATTTGATTGAACGCCATGTAACGGAAGTCTTTGTCTTAGTTATATGACACTGGCCGGGTTGGATTCCTTATTCTGGCTAGTTATTACGACAAAAAGGATTTTATAGGACGCAGTGACATCCTTTTTATTATAAGTGCCTAAAGATTATGTTTACGTCCTAGTATCGGGAGTCTCACACGCAGATTGGCAAGAAGATTAATTTATACATTAAAACTTAATACCTAAAAGCGAATCTTATCTGTATCCTGCGTTACTTATTCAAATTAGGATACTGTTCACTTCACATCATCATCAACAGCCTTTAACAGTCCACTGCTGGACATAGGCCTCTCCTTAGAAAGGAAGTTTTGGCCTACTATACCACGCTGGCCAAACGGGTTAGTATAGGGTTTGTGTCAAGTTTTCCTTCTCTCTGCAGTGCTGTTGTCCTGCGTAGTTCGCTCCCTTAGTCGCCTCTTACGCCACTCATGGGATAAATAGGGGTGGTGACACTCTGTATTCTTAATCCGTCACTACACGGACATCTGTTCACTTCGAGACATACTTATTTTTATATGTATGTTCATCGAATACCAATATGTATTTTTTTTCTTGTTATTAGGTGGTGTAGAAGTACCGGAATTTGGAGAGCCCATCACAAATCTGACGGTGCCGATCGGGCGTGACGCTACCTTCGAATGTATCGTTGTCAACCTTGGCAACTTTCGGGTAAGAACCATAAATCAACTCGGTTTCCTTTTTTATTAGATTGCTATGAAATTTAATTCTATTATATTTTTGAGATTGAATTATATTTTCTTGGATACTTTTTCGATCGTGAACCTCTTTAATTTTTTAATCATTCCTTACTCATCAAAATAAAAATTAAACACTTAAATACATTAATATGCGTTCGAACTTATTTTTATATATTACTTTAACGTTTTAGTACGTTTTGGTTACCGATCTTTGTAACGAAACTTTTTGTACTTAAAAAAAATTGAGCGAGTGTGGAGTTATCTCAAACTAAGGAATATTTTGTTCCGTGATCCAATATAGCCTGAAAGAAAATATCCTTTCTGATATTATTTTTTTATACTCATTGACTTATTGCTCAAATTACGATCTGTATTGTCATCCACTGACCAAATGGGTTGACGTGCCAATTAAAGCGTACAAGATAACCTCTTTTTAAATGACTACAATTCACTTAATGTTAGAATTATTGCTGGTTTCGATGCGTTAACAACATTTGTTGTTTCTTAGGCTTCATTTTGACTTTAAACACAAAATTATGTTACTTTTTTAAAACTCTTTAGCATTCTAACTTTAGTATTTAAATATCTAAGTAAGACAAACACAGTTTAATTCATAGTTAGTCTGTAATTAATATATTTTTTAAAGCACAATATTATACTGTAAACAAACAACCTAACGCCTTACCGCCTGCACAAAGACCTCCGTGAACCCGCATACGTAATTAATAGGTTCCACAATTTACTAGTAACCTTTCCCAGTTTATGCGTAGTACCCTGACCCGAATACGTTATATCGGTTTCGTCTTTGAATTTCAAATCTTAAACTAAGCTGGTATATTTTAAGTATCAACCGTATCAACAGATTTGGGACTATTCACCTCCAATAATTTTAAATTTGTGTTATTTTAATGCACTGTTTTGACCTAACGGAGTTATTGATGAAGCAAAATAATGTATTTATAACCATACTACAGAGTGTACTCAGGAAGATCTGTTAGATATATTTTTCTGGCCTAAATTATTAATACTATGGACTTACAAGTAAACAGAGAGTACACAGTTATGTGGTCTTATCTGCACAACAAAACAAGCAACCCAATTTCCCACAGGAGTCATTCAAAGAGAAAAATATTATGACAAGTGACGGGTTTAATTTAAGTCCTAATTCAAGCGAAGCTTTAAAGTGTCAAAATAAGTTTCAATTTTTCTTGTCATCTCTCTCATCTCATTTCATCATCTATCACCGCCAACTATCATCATTGCCTTGAGAAGTAACTTTCTCAAACTAATATTACTGTACAGGTCGGCTGGGTGAAAGCAGATACAAAAGCGATCCAGGCGATCCACGAACACGTGATTACCCACAATCCTCGAGTATCAGTATCACACAGCGATCATTCCACCTGGTACTTGCATATTAAAAACGTCCAGGAAGAAGACCGTGGACAGTACATGTGTCAAATCAACACAGATCCTATGAAGAGTCAGGTAAATCTTCATGTTAAATATGTAAAATATTTTTTGACAGTTTACCTATTGTTTTAGTCTCATAAACTAAGAGAAGTTAAAGAATATGTATACTTCGGTAAACCGTATATTTTGTAATAATTGAAAATTTCACATACTTAAGCGTTAAAATAACCTTTCAAAAAAAATCTAAAACTAAATCCTAACCCACCTCTCTTTTTTGTGTCGGAGTTTATGGAAAAACATTGTTTAACATAAACATTTAAAAAATACCAGTTTCGCTAAACATTTACCTAGCGATGTATTCGTCAAAAAACTGTCTTCTGCTATAAGGTTAAAATGTTTCAGAAGAAATAACTTCTATATTATTCGCCATACGAGGTACTCCACTCAGTCGTAGTAAAAGCTAGCTACTTACAAATCTGATTATTTGAAGCAATGCTCAACAGGAGTTTTACCTTAAGGCTGCTTTTATGTTAAGGTTGCTTTTATTTTAAGCTGTCGTTGAATAGTGAATTCTGCAAAGCGTTTTATTGCAGACTGTTAGTGTATTCAGCGTCAAAAAGTACTATCAATGTACCATAACAGGGTTACTATTCAGTCGCGTTCAAAGATAATTGCCACTTCTGCTTATTTAGTAGCCGAAGCTGCCGTCCAATTCATCGGCGCAAATCTGAAAAGGCTTCAATTTAGTATCGAAATCTGATTACGAAGTCTCATTTAGTAATTTTGAGTAAATATTTTCTCATCACTTGATAGAAATCCGCATGATTCAGATTTCAATTTATCAACATTGCTAACTATGTTCGGCTACTCGATAGTTAAATGATTGTATTTTAATGGTCTACTGATATAAAGGTCTAATATTAATGGTCTAATAGACCTATTACTTTTTTTTCAAAGCCAATTAAAACACTGATCGAACTAAAAAAGTATATATCATGTTGCTCATAATGAGACGGTCCCCTCCTACTAATACTAATTAGTTGATTTTTGTGGTGTGAATGTTACTTTAGATTCATTTAAATAGTATATATACAATGGTATCTTAATTTTCTTATAAAACTGACAATAATTAGTCGAATAGGTGCCAAAGTTTGTATGCCAGATTTTATTATAAGTCAAAGATACAGATCAAATAATTAATTATAAAGTACTTACTCAAAAAAGAAGCTTGAAATCACTCTTCTTTAAATCATCTCTCTATCACTCATAATCATTTCCCATTTTTAGACTTAATGCAAATGATGTTGTGTTGAAATATTTTATAATTTTACACATCATAAGATTCATCGTGAAACCTGTTGTGTCACCTTTGCTCTTTAATTGTTTCTAAACTAGGTCGGGATGAGGGATGTCTGAATATTTTCTGATTACGAAATTTTAAGATCTGGATGAGCAGTACACATCTTCACGGTTGAAAGGACATATCAATAATGTCAATTATTTGCTAGAGTCGGAGCCAAACCGCTGCATTGAACTATGTAATAGTCGCGGGTAGTGAAGATGATGCCTCTTTAACGCCAGTCACTGTTAATCCAGAATAGTACGAGAAAGTATAATTTTAAAAATTTGAAATGTAATAAACTAAATGATGAATTATATTTATTTCTGTAAGTAAATCTTTTCACATATTTTTACAAGTCGGACTTTACAACTAGAAGGATCGGGCATTACCTAAGACACTCTGGGAAGAAATGCTGAAATAAACCGCAGAGGTTTCTTTTTTTTAGTCCGTAAACAAAGTTAAATAAAATTGCATGACTACAGTACACCGTCTGGGTAGGCCTTTTGAAGAAAGGAACATAGTTTTGAGTCGGCCTATCTATACAGACGGCATACAGGCCCCAGCCATCGTGTAGCTTAGCCGATATTAGTCAACATCAACGAGTCGAAGCACGACACTACCGCTAGATGGACATTTGGGTAGGCCATGGAAACACTCAAAACCACCAGAAAGTTACTAAAAATATCAATTAACATTACAAGCCTGTACTCATATTTAAATACTTACACAAAAAAATATACTATACAATTCAAATTCAACGCAAAATAAACAAATTGAAAACAAACGGAATGCTAAATACACCAAAAAAGACAAAAAAAACATTACTCTGAAATATAACAACTATGGTAGGAACGTATATGTGGGAGTGAGCAGCATCAATCCTGAGTCAAATTTGTCATTTAAATAATCTGTAATAGTGTAGTAAGTTTTAGTTTTACTAAAGACTTAAATTTGTCAATACTTAATACATACAATTTGCTTGGCATTTTATTGTAGAATCGCACACCCTGACATCGAAAAGACTTGATTACTTTTTGTAATCAAGTGGTTGGTAACACGAGTTTATCTTCATTTCTAGTGTTTATTATATGAATGTCGCAAAATTTTGTGAATAAATGAATATTTTTCTTTGCATACACTAAATTTTCAAATATATATTGAGATGCGACTGTCATGACACTAATTTCTTTAAACTTATCCCTCAGTGACTGCATATAACTGAGATTATAAATTGCGCGAATAGCTTTTTTCTTTCAACACTAAGATACTTTAAATGTCAGCAGCATTTCTCCACAACAAAATACCGTATGACATTATACCATGAAAATAGCTAAAATATACTAGTCTACCTATATCAACATCGGTTAATTGACAAATTTAAAAATCCGCGTAACATAGTGACTTATACAGTCTGCGTCACTTTTAATAATTCTGTCCCAATTTTAACTGTACCCTGATTTGTATAATTTCAACTAACCATTCGGTTTACACATCCTTATTATCCAGCTTTTGTTTTTAAGTGCTCAGTTAATTCAGGTATGATAGTTTTATCAATGACAGGTCCTTTCCTTTTTAGGTGTTGATAAGTGAGTTTTTAATTTATCCACCAGCAAAAGTAAATATTACTCATAATTTATAAGTTAATATTCTTGCATTTGATCCAGATGGGCTTCCTGGACGTGGTGATCCCGCCGGATTTTATTCCTGAAGAGACTTCAGGTGACACTATGGTGCCGGAGGGGGGCACAGCTAGGGTGTCATGTAGAGCCCGTGGTGTGCCACCTCCGAGAGTCATGTGGAAAAGAGAAGATGGACAAGATATTGTTGTAAGGGACCAAACTGGAGCAAAGAGTAAAGGTATAAAGTAACGATTTTATTCACAAAATCTTTCAAATTCAAGTTGTTAGTTTTAATTTTTTTTTTTTTAAACTATTCTAATATTTTTTTAAAGGCATTTCCATTGTCTGATACACAAAGAAAATTAATACACCTGGGACCCTGGCACTAATATTGTGAGATGGAATACTATATGGTTTCAGATTGCTCGAGTTTGATAAAGTGTGTCAAACTCGAGCAATCTCACCATACCGTTTTACATGGTTGAGGTGATAACCTAAAAGGGTTTCAAAACGTTGACTTAATAAACAATAAAATATGCGGTATAAACTCTCATTATAGATTTAAATAGAACCTACACAACGTTACAAGTCCTCACATAAGAGCAAACTGCAAGCATTGTGTGATATTTAATTACCTTTAATTAGACTTGCAACGAATATTCGGTTACTATTCGGTATTCGGCATATTCGGCTGCTTTTATTAAATTCGGCCGAATACCGAATATCTACATATTATTCGGCCGAATACCGAATACTTAAATAATATATTTTGTCATTAAGAAATAATTGGTGAAATGAAAAATTAAAATCGATTGATTACGTATATATTCATATTTTCATTTCTGTTATAATCATTTAAGTAGTCATTGGTGCATAACACAGGTACATAATCATCTTCTGAATTGGAAAAATGGAGGATTCTATGTATTTGAATTATTGTGCTAATCAACATTTAGAAGGGTAAGGTTCTCATTTCTTTTATAATCATTTATTAAGTAGTCATTGGTACATAAAACAGGTACATAATTTAATTCACGTCTGTACAAGTTTTTGGCGCTAAATCCAGCCGAATACTTTTGCCTAATATTCGGCTATTCGGTCAGGGGCCTCGCCGAATATTCGGTATTCGGTATACTGCCGAATATACTATTCGTTGCAAGTCTACCTTTAATAATATGTAATTCCTTTAAATAGATATATATTTCATGCATTATTAGAATTAAAAAAAACTTCTAATAACGAAATAAGTTACTAAAAAGAAAATTGAATTACGTTATTAAAGTCATGTAGCTAAAAAGTATTACTGTAACATTTTTTAAAATTAGGTTTATCAAGTCGGATCACAAAAAACAGTGTTTCTTTTTTTTATATTACTTCTTCAAAAAAAGCATCTCTTGCTTAATTGACTTTCTTTTAGTGGTGTATCCCCATCATCATTAACAGCCTTTAATCGTACACTGCTGGACATAGGCCTCTCCTTAGAAAGGAGGTATTGGCGTACTATACCACCATAAAATAGTGATAGTGGTAAATAGTGGTAGACACCAAGAACTTCGACAGCATACAATACAATGCACTTTTTCATATGCCTAAAGGCAGGAGATGGTCAATGGTGGATAGGCCTCGCCGAAGTCCCGCTTGCTCTGGGGTTTTTGGAAATCAAATTAAGTTTGCAAAGCCATTTCTAAAATAAGATTGAAATTTTCTGACGGTTTTATTTGTTTTATGTTAAATTAATTAAACGTAACGTTTAAGTTTGCTTTTGTCAGTACTTTTTAAAATAAGAACCTTGTGCCATATTCATTTCACTGTTTGACATCATTCGTCAAAAATGAGTATTTGTTTAATCGACATAGATGTATTACAAGTCTTTGAGCTTTTAGCCATTCTGGGTGTCTCTTTCATGTTGTTATGATGGTTTTGTATGTTAGCATATTTTCTTTAGCAACTTGTAACATCTTATCCTGTAACGCAAACATTTCAAACAAAAGGTTGAGCGTTTTATTGTGGGAGCGCTAACTTCGACACATACGGGGCCGGCTTGCTTGGAACCTGGCAACGGTCTCATTTAAAACTCCTAATTCTGAGGAGAAAATCACTCGAAGGGCGGTAACGCACATCTCTTCTGTTCAGACCCGTCTGCTCATTTGCCTTCTGTACATAAAAAAAAGAATATTTAGCGAAATATGAGCGTTATAAACTCACACCTATCCACTTTAAAGTATTTAAAAAAAACTAAACCTTCAAATAGTTTATCATGTCTACAAATGGTGAAATTATCTTTTATAGCGAGCATACGCTATTGTGATATAGGCTAAACCTTTTATTCAGTTACTTATATAGGTAATTACGCACACGCAAAGTTCACCTTTTGGTAAACTTTCCTATAAATACTCGTTAGAACAACAATACCACTCACGGGTTACTAGCAAATAGTATACTCCCATAATTGATGTTGGAAAAGGGTTTTCATACTCACATTCAACACGTTATACTGTAAAATGAAAAAAAGGATTATAATAAATATATAATAAAATTATTTTCTATGGCTGTCTTTTATTAAAGATGTTAATGTTCCTTTCAATCGGAAAAGAAGATATGCAACGTAGAAATATAAAGTTCATGGTTGGTCAACCTTGGTCACCAAAAAATCGGTTTGTATGATGTGACGGATTAAGAATACAGAATGTCACCACCCCTATTTGGTGTCGTAAGAGCCGAATAAGGGAGCAAACTACAGGACAACAGCACAGCAAAGAGAATGAAAACTTGACCCATCCCTCTACCAACCCGTTTGGCCAGCGTGGTATAGTTGGCCAAAATCTAATTTCTAAGGAGCTTCCTATGATAATTAATATTATTTAACGGGAATTAACGCGATCTCTTATTTAGGCTATTACATACCTCTGGTTTGCCTGAGAGTCAGCCTGTGACCACGGCCGGTGCAACCTGGTCGAAACGTCAGGCAAACCAGAGGTATGTAATACCCTAAATAAGAGATCGCGTTAATTCCCGTTAAATAATATTAATTATCATGGAACGCGAAAGTTTAAAAGTTAGTAGAGTGAGAAAAGTGGTTTTGTACTGTAAATAAAGTTTATTATAAAATCTAGGTGTAATGTTAACATGTTAAGAATAACAGCATTAAGAATTATTTCTTATAATAAATAAGTAGATGGTATAACACTATTGCATTGGGCTAAACCTGTAATAATAATTGTTTTTAAAGGAAATGAATAAATAAAATGTTGGTGTTGAGCAAATTTTCTTTTAATCCTTGGGATTGGACAATATTTTCTGTACTTTTACCCGAAGGTTGGAGGTACGGTACACAATAATCCTAAAGCATAGTACCAGTAACGGTATTTTTGCAAAGTCGTTTGTAGTAGCAGTTTTTAGTTTGCGTTTCTTGCAATTCTAAGTGCCATAGCAGTTTGCTATGGTACCTACTTTGGTTACTAAATAATTTCCTTATATTCATGATTTATCATAACAATAAACGGCCACACTATTTCATAAGTATAAAATGAAGTCACCAATAGAAAAAAACATCATTTTTATATATGGTATGGTTTGTAAGGTGCGCCAAGTCATTGTGTATGATAACATTCACTGGTCAATGTCTGAAATTATAATGAAAAAAAAAAGTAACAGTCATTCACTAGCCGATTTAGCGGAAGGCAAAATATATCATTGTATTTTAAAATACATTTCGCTTTAGGTATTTTACAATACTATACATATTTCATATAAAATATACTTTGTAAATACTATCGATATGTCAATATACCAGAAAACTCAACTAAGGTAGATCTCAGGTCTAAGAAATATAAGTCTCCTTCCCCCTCCCTACCCCTGGAGGACTGTTCAATAGTTATATGAGTAATTCCATTCTCAGTTCTTTTACAATTTACAAAATACTCGATAACTGCTTAAGATGGGACACCTTAATATGTATGTTTCCTAGCCTGTATAGTTATTAGGAAACTCAACTATCTTTAAGTTTGTAACGCACAATCTTACACTTTTTATTAAATAATCAGTAGGGATTTTTGTTAATTAATTAGGTGTTCTTTTTCAAGATGTGGATTGGGTTACTTTGCAAATATGTTTAATTCTTAGGTGAGGAAACACTTAGGTAGGTAAAAGGTAAAACTATAAAGTAAGGAAATATAGCAATGATTAACATTCTCATGAATCTTAATGGTTAATGCCTAATAGACTGTAAAAGCAATTAAATATTCTTGAATATAATATTTGTCTTACAATGATTGCTGTTTTTTAGGAAACTGGTCCGAAAAACATTTTCACTAATGTTTAATGACTGCAATAACATTTCATTTGTCTTAGTATATTTGAATAGCGCAAGGATGCCATTGTTTTTCTGAATATGTATAATACGAAAGTCTGTGTGACCGCATTTGTGGCACCACAATGAGCCGCGCGGCGACTATTCTCGGGATGAGTTTCGCGTCCAGTATTGTTTAAAGTTTGTCGTAATTAGTACAGTTCTGGCGTTGAATACACTTCTAGGTCTCATTATTACGAACGCTGAATAATTTATTGAAACCCTTGCATCATTCTAAAATTTTAAAATATGTTGTGTTTTATTGTCACAAATAGCTAGTTTGGTTTGTTAAAATTTCACATACTATGTGACGAAAATGTTTGTTTTATCTATCTGTTTTTACTACATTTGTCAAACTACAAACCCAAAACGTCAAGGCAGAATGAATTAATTAATTATTAAAGTGGTAAGTGAACAATTCCACTTCCTCACCTAGAAACTTATTTTATGCACCATGAACTCATGGCGTAGAAGAAGATTATAGAAAGTGATCAATAACTTTTTTATACCTAGATAGGAACAGGCAGAAGTTACACCCTTTAAAGTTTACAATCTTCTGTCTTCCTCCTCTCTCACTTCTAAATATCTTGAATTTTGGAGGTAACCTATTTGAAGTATGAAGAAGGTCCTTTACATAATATACTGACAAAATTTAATATAACCCGAATAAGTATTCGATGTATTTATTTATACTGCACGCATGGCGCAATGCTTGAAATCACCGCCTCCTACACTGTGCTAAATGTTAGGAAAAAAAATTGGGTCCGCTTTCTAACTGTTTGTTAGATCTCTCGCGATACAGGAATTATAATTTTTCATCAGTGCAGGATTTTTTTCAAACAAAACAAAGTTTACATGAATATGAATGACATCAGACCAGGAAAAAGAGTCGACTAGACAGTGTCTTAAAAAATGCCAAGTGAGATATTTCGAGGTATTTTTTCAATTGGTTATTATGTTGCAACATGCAAAAAACTGCTTAAAATAGTTGATTTCGATTTTTTTCTAAATAAACAATTATAAATATACAGGCTTACCAAACATTGGTAAATCATAGGCTCTGATATGTAGTATGTGTTTTTTTTGGCGTAGTCAGTAGCATAGTTTTTGCAAAAAGCCATTTATTTATTTCAGCTGTCGTACAATGCTGAATTTAGGCTCATTCTCTTCCTTAAGAGTTTTGCTTTGAATCTTTGTTTATGACTTATCAAATTTTTTTAGGGCATATTGCATACTTTTGTTTTGCGATTCGTAATCGTCGTGATTACGAAATCACTGGTCTGGTCGAATTCTATCAATATCTTATTATTACCTTTGTGTATTAGACCTTTGTGACCTTTTGTAGAATTTAATAAGTTTAAATTAATTAAATCTTTTATAAATTTCCAAGTATCCTTTTCCTGTAAATAGAAAATGAACAGTAACGATAGTTAGATAAATATTGAATAGGAATTACGATAAATTATTTATATTTTCTACAGTACAGTAGAAAATATTTCCTTTGTCGTTTAAGGTGCAACATATACCCATGACTTTGATTGCCGAGTCTTTATTCATAGGACTACTATTAGTACTAGTAGTAGTTAGTAGTAGTAGTAGTGGTGGTTAATCTTCATATACTCGTATACAAACTTTAAAAGTCTTATTCTGTAAAAGAATAAAACCATCCGCGGCTGCTTATAATGTATTTATTTAGTAGAAATATAATACACAGTTACTAAAGTGCTGAACTATCATTGATTAAATATTCATACTTCCTAATCATGATATGGTAGATATAGCATTTTTAAGCTAAGCATAGCCCTCGCGCGTAGTGATTTGGTACTTAACTACTTTAAATTCAACTTATTATTTACAACAACCATTTATGTTCTTTTAAAAGTTTTGTTAAAATGAGCGTTTTGTCCTATGAGTTTTTTTATTACAAGATGTAATTGATTTTGATTTAAACTAGTAAAATGTGTGGTTTCTTAAGATTAATTAGAACATAATTGAAAGCAAAATCAAAATTAACGTCCTTGACAATTCTCGTCTGCAGTACCAGTTTTAATATTCCTTTACTAAATGTTTTGTTTAAGCTACATATTTTAAGTAATTTATTAAATTAAGCCGTTATTAATGTAAATATTTTGCACTTTTTTTGTTAAATTGAGAAATCATTGTATTGCATTATTTTACTATGACGGCACTGACGACCTCAGACCAATATTTGACATGCTCTCTTAAAATAGAAATAAATTGAGGCTGGAATCCTCATATAACCTCAACTCATGTAACAAAAGTGTTCTTTGTACAAAAATTTGATATACTTGTCCACAGTTTTAACGTACCAGGGTGAAGTGTTGAAGCTGACGAAAATATCTCGCTCGGAGATGGGCACATACTTATGTATCGCTGGCAACGGGGTCCCACCTACCGTCAGTAAACGGATCCACATCAGTGTACACTGTAAGTTGATATTTGTAATATTTTGTATACCTTCGGTACCAGAGCAATTAAGTATAATGAAACCTTATGAAATAAGAAAAAATATCGGTTACGCAGGTGGAAAGGTAATCAAATTAAATTTATATTTTTGAAAGCATGTAATTTATACAAAATAAATAATGATATAGATATTATGGAAACGTTTTATAAATATGTGGATGTAATTAAATTAAATTTATATAGCATTTTTGTGAAGCCTATTTACACGACAGATATCCAAATGAAGTTACCGATTAAATATGAGAATAAATCCAAAAAACTATGGAACCTATTTTACGAAAGATATCGTACCACGATGCACCTTATCGTAAAGGAAATTTGCATTGCGTAAAAATTTAATGCATAAATGTTTGCGGTTATCAGAGTAAGCCGTTTAAACATGAGACTATTTTTTATTTTATTATTTTGCTTTAAATTAGTTCTATTTTTCGTTATACAGGTAAACTTTAGCTTAAACTCTTGCGTTGATCACTGGCACATTATATCGAGGGTGACTAGTAGACTACACTCGAGGTTCGGACATCAGTTAAACCTTATCTATCACTAGTACCACACCCTACAAATTAATTATTATTTTTTCCACCCTTTACCTACAGGGAACTGTTTTTTTTTCTATATAATAATTTACTAATAATAATACTAATACTAATCTACTAATAATAATCATAATTTTTATTTGTCAACTTCTAGACTAGTTGGTTGTAAACAAAACATAATTAATTCTTAAGTTTTATGATCAAAATCTCGAAAATTAAGGCTTTATCTAATTACAAGTAGATCAACATATCTGTTGTTCCCAGTTAACCTCTAGTCTAGATCAGAATAAAATCCATTACGTATCTACTATCCGTTTTACACTCCGTTTTGTCTAAAATGCGATGACAAATACTTTTAAATATGCACACACTTTCATATATTTTTGAATCTGTATTCAAATTGATGTGTATTTTTACTTCCTGCAGTTCATCCAGTGATCCAGGTGCCAAATCAACTAGTTGGCGCTCCATTGGGTACTGACGTCACTATAGAGTGTTATGTCGAGTCTTCCCCTAAATCCATCAATTATTGGGTTAAAGATCCAGGTAAGTCTGTAGAGATTGTATAAGTGATAAGACACGATATCTCACTCATTCAAATAAATATCAATAACGAACAAGATATTCTGTAGAACTACCACAGTTTATAATTATGCAATACCAGTAAAACGATATGCAATATTCCCAATTGAATTTAAATACACTTTAAAAGTTCAACATTCGAATTTTAATACCGTTTGATTAACTCGGCGGCAGGTACAGCATCCGCGATAAAAGCGAAACAAATTATAAGGCAGCCATAAAACTCCTAGGTGTCTGCACGAACTTTTTACATTTTTCATAAAACTTCCGCTGAGGATGAAATTCTAATATTGAATTCGAAAACAAGCGTGTTTTAAGTAATAAATCGTTCTACAGGTGAGCTGATTATACCTTCGGAGCACCATGTGATGTCTGTTAGACAAAAATCCATGTTTGAGGCGGAGATGACCATGACCATTAAGAATATACGGAGGGAGGACTTGGGCAGTTACATCTGTGTGGCCAAGAATTCCTTAGGGGACGTCGAGAGCAAGATAAGATTATACGGTATGTAATACTTAGCTTTTATCAAACTAAACCTTATCAAATTTCCCTTAATTACCTTTATCGATCATAACCACTCAATTTTGTCATAACAGAAAGTATTAAATGTTCCTTGGGTAAGTGTTTGTGGCACTAAAATATGCCTATGCAATATATTAATTTACATACACATTTAGTGATTGATGTATATGTAAATTAATAAATTGCACAAGCATATTTGCAATGAATTTAAAAAGACTATTAAAATACATTAATTTTGCAGTGACCGTTTTTAAATAAATATTTTTATCGTATCACAGAGATTCCAGGCAACGACAGGCACGCGTACCAATACCCGGATATCCGGATGAACTCGGATGACGAATACGGTGGAAACGCATATGAAGACGAAGACGACGAGATTGATAATATGAAAAGTAACAGAGTACCGGATCGGGCCAATAAATGGTACTCCAACGATGGAAAAATGATTCTTACAAGCACCGGTGGTGGCTCGACTACCATTGTGGCGACGACGATGATCTTCCTGTGTGTAATCAAAAGTCTGCTATAATTACTATGACCGCCGCTATTAGATAATTATTTATGTTGTCGTTAGAACGTTGATGATAATTCAGGAGAATTGTGAATAATCACAGTCTTGTAATTATGTTTGATTGGAATATTTTTTGTATTCATTTTAATTTTTTATTATCTTTTTATAACGAGCTAAATTTTCTCCACTAGATCATTATTCCATCAGCCCGTAACGTGATAATAACTAGTCTTATAAAGTTGTATATAGTTTGAATTAGGCGAATATTCTAATTGTTTGTAAGAATATAAATAATAGTAATTCATTTCTGATACTAAATGTTACTAAGTTTATTGCGAAATATTGTATAATTTAAGAAAATGTTTATAAATGAATGTGCCATGTACATTGCTACTATCTTGAATAGAGACATTTATATTAACGTTTTTATTGGACATAGTAAAATTAATTGTAAATAACCAAATGGTAAGCGATAGAGAATATATTTACTTGACAAGTTGTTTGAGACATATATATACATCTATATATAACAGTTAATAGTGCCCAGTATTCACAACTTAACAGTTTCCAATGCTTACTCTCCAGTTGCAACTTTAGCCGCTAATAACCTACATATTTGTTGTAGATCTTACAAAAATCTACTAAAGTACACTAAGTTTACTTATTAATTGGTTTGAGGATTCCTTTACTACAATAACAATGGGGAAACATTCCTAAAGTTGCAGATGGAACTATTTCCGCGTGTATCTAAAATAATGTAGTCAAATAAATGATGTAACTTCTTCCAAACAATGTAAGTTAATATCCTGACCGTTACAAAAAATAATAAAATCAAAGACATGTCGCATCGTCTCTTAATTTGATCCAAAACCTTCGTTTCTTGGGGACTTTATACCTAATTGAATATTTCACGGCGCTCTATGCAAATGTTGCGAGGGTGATAAATGGTAATGATATTCTTCATTATTCCAGCGAAAATTCATACGTTTTACAAAATAGAGACATTTAACAATACTAACTCTATTTCAAATTTATTTGTGTATCTTACAGTTTTATCCAAGTAATTAATTTGTACAAAATTAATTAAATAAGACTATAAAAGATAGCTCACTTTCTTTTCAATATTTTCTATTTAATTGAAAAAAAACCGGACAAATGCGAGTAGGACTCGCCCACTGAGGATTTCGTACAAATCTGTAGGTACATATTATAATTAGTTCAGTAATCGAGTCTCTCAGTTTTTTTTCAAAGGTTTTCCCGAAATTCAGTATCAAAACCCTATAATTACTTATTATGTTTTATAAGGGAAATTGTACCTCGATGTACTTTTAATAAATACATTTTTTTTTATTTAACTACACGTATAGTTTTCAGATTTTTCCCTATACTTGTAACAAGATGTTACTTGACAAATTTCAAAGTTCTAGGTCAACGGGTCAACGGTCATAAATTTTAATTTCCTTGAGACTGTCGAAAAGTGCGTTTTCAGCGACATAAACGGCCATAACATAGATGTTTGGTTTTTTTACAGCTTCAAGAGACTGTAGAATTGAATATGTGGTTTTTATTTGAATAAAAAAATTAATTACTTTTATTAACTTTTAGCCAATTTACACCATGTAACACAAAAGAAATATCAAAAATTATTGACGGTTTAGAGAACAACACAAGTACCGGGCTGGACGGAATTAGCAGAAAAACAAAAAATGTCTAAAATATATAATACTTAAAACGCTTACAAACTGTATAAATACATGTTTATCACGCGCTATCTTCCCAGATTCACTCAAGGTAGCCAAGTTGATTTGTAAATGAGGGTTCATTTACAAATCCGGCTGTAGAACAGATCCAGGGAATTACAGACCGGTGTCAGTACTGCCTGTTATGTCAAAACTATTTGAGCGAATTAAACATGACCGCCTTAATAACATTTTACTCAAAAAACAATTCTTAAATGACCATCAAAACAGTTTTCGAGCCAAATCTAACACTCTTACTGCAGCAGTAGACTTAATCACGAAAATAAAAACTCGCATCTACCAAAAGAACTTTGCATTAGGGATATTTAAAAAAGGCATTCAATACAGTAAGTCACCAAAAGCTATTTCAGAAATTAAACTATACATCACATAAACATCATCAGCTCTCAGTATGTTTGCATCTCCTAGAAAACAAATGTCAAGCATTTAAGATTGAAAACTTCCACACAAAATGTCTCATTCGGTATAGCTCAAGGCTCCATAATCGGCCCTATAAATACAACAGGACTAACAGGACACCTAACTCTGTACGCAGACTACACGTGCCTTTTTTATTTTGATAAATATACACACACGATTATCGCTGATGCTCAAAAGGACATTAATCTATTGAATGAGTTTAAAAATAACGCGTTCCTGAGATAAAGGGTCTTAACAGATAGACGGGCGGATAGACAGATTGACAAAAAAACTGTACTTTGAGGTACAGAATCCTAAAAATGCAAACTCGTGAAATGAAACTGAAATCCTAAAATGTTTCATATTATACCTAACTACTAAAAGAATATAAAAGAAACGTTAAAAGATTCAAGTAATCAAACTTGGAACTGCACACCGAGAGCGATCTATTCCATAAGGTCCTATGTCGGCTGTCTGGGTAAGTATTTCTTTTTTTCTTACATTCGGGCCTCCCTAGATATCAAACTTAGTTTTAAAAAGCAGCTTTGGGCATACTGTTCGTGATATCAAAACTTTGAGTAGCCTGATGGAGTACTAAATACAACGACGATTGCAACGTTATAACAGTGGTACTTGTGACGTCGGACTGTCAGCACGTAATCAAGCCAACTTGTCGTAGATAAAGTCGTAATACTCAAAATATGTACAAATTCAATACACAATTGAATTATATTTCAATACATCACTAGTTTAATATATACAATAATGCGGTCTGTTCGAAAAAAATAAATTGATTATTAAATACATACATTTGTGTCATTTGCGTATTCCTTGACTTGCAAAAGGCGTTTGACACCGTTTCTATTCCGATCCTTTTAACTCGCCTCGAATCTAGGAATTAAGGGAATCGCACTTTTATTGTTGAAACATTATCTTACAGAAATATAGCAGTGTGTTAGAGTTAAAAACCATACCATTAACACCTGTGTGGGATCATATGGGGTTCCACAAGGGGGCACCCACCATACATCAACGACCTATGTAAATTTAAAATTCAGGGTGCTCACATACAAATGTTTGCCGATGACACAGTGGTATTGTTATATAGTATAGGAACCCAAGGGAAAATGTACGACAAATATCTGTAAAAAAAGTATCGTATTACGGTTTGGTTAGAAGATAGTCTACTGTCAGTAAATGTAGACAAAACAAAATTCCTATGCTTTAGTAAAACTATGGCATCTTCTCCGAAAACGCTTCAACTTCGCATACATTGTCATCTTTATAACCGATCAACAATCGAACTGTCTGCACGTTGCAGTTGACCCGAGCTATCAAGGACAACCGAAATCAAATATTTAGGGATAAATATTGACGACAAATTAAACTGAAACAAACACATAAACACAGTGTCGATTATACGAGTGTTCTATTATGGAAGCTTGTTTATATTTTTAAGAATTTACGAATTATACCCTACAATACACGTTTAATACAAACACACAAAGCCTTAGCTGAATGTTTAATCACCTACTGTATATGTTCGTGGGCCTCAGCAGCAAAAACACATTTGATCAAGGTCGAAAGAGCACAACGGGCTGTACTTAAAGTACTCCTTTACTTACCTCAAGCCTTGAAAAGCCTCAAGTTTTAAGCGTACGAAAGATGTTTGCCTGATAATGTATTTCCAAATATCATAAGCATGCTGTACTCCTTCTCCAACATTTTAGTAAAAGAAAAGACAAATGTCCAATCCCAAATATAGTAACATTGCACCTAGGTTATATTATAAACTTAATTTAAATTACAAAACCAGACATTTATCGAACTAGCAAATTAAAAAAAAATTAAAATATGGCTGAACAGTTTAGCCTACGATGATGTAGAAAGCTTATTGCTGGTAACAACGTAGTTCAGGTTTAAATACACACACACAAACACGCAACTACACACACACACATGCACGCGCAAAATTAACAAAATATCTTTTGTAAGGATGTTTCAATGTTTCTTTGTATGTTCTACGTGATATTTGTAACAATTTATTGTATCGTGTTTTTGGTAAGGAACTGATCTCTGATATACAGCTAAAGTGCCACACAAACTAAACGGCCATCAGCAGAACTTACGCGTCGAAGCATACATAGCACTTCTGAATCAGCATAGAAACGAGGAAATTCTGAATCGAATTGTTGTTACCAGCGTTGAAAAGCGGATCTTGTACGACAACCGTAAGCATTCATCTCAGTGGGTGGACCCGAGTACAGCACATAATCAGTGCGCTAAATTTCAATGTCTATTTTGAAATGTTTCATAATCCAATTCAACGAGTATGAACCAGTATTTGACTATTGAGAGTTATACCTACGTCGACATAAAGCTTTCACATGAATGTAATAAAAGAGTTATTAAAACGGTCGTTGAAATATTATTTCACACATTTAAAATAAAGTATTACTTGTATGAACAGAAATTGTATAATATATTTAACCAACTTAAAATACACAAAAGAGAAGGTTCTCAATTCGACAGTATTTTTTTTTTTAATGTTTGAGTTATTTTGAAAATTGGGGGAAATCATCAAATTTTAATTAGCTTGTTTCTCTAGCTATACAAATATTTGAGTTTAGTAGTCGTTATCTTATATTGCTGAGCTAATGCTAGAAGGGTGTTTGCCCTTTAGGAGTTAGAAGATATTTCTTTCAATAATATAATCATGTATTGAACCTGTTTTATTGTTTCAAGATATTTGTTAGGTGTTTGTGTTGGGTTACATAGATACGATAGACAATTATTTTCATGTTTGCTTCCTCAAAACATTTTTATTTGTAAACCGATTTGAGAAATTCTTTTTTATTT